TGTGTGTGTGTGTGTGTGTGTGTGTATGGGTGTGTGTGTGGATGAGGGCCATGACACCTTCAGCCGTGAGATCTAAACACGAGGTTGGGCTACAGCTTGACACACACACACAAAACAGGTCATTTTAATTCAGAAGACTTGACGAATGTCCAGGCTCCACTCAGTAGCACCGGACGGAGAATTTTAAGAGGTTTTCAGCCTCGTCGTTAGGATGTAAAAAGAGTTGTGTTGTTGAGAGCTTTATAAGGAGAATGCATGCTGTGTCATTTCTGTGTGTAATATCTCGTAGACTCATACAACGATTCGTATGATATATTACAAGATCCTCCTACTTTTTCATGCGTTTTCCTACGAAAGTCAAGCAACACGTCAATTTCTGCACGCAACAAAACTACTAAGTTAGGTTTCGGCAACAAGAATACTCAGTTAGGTCTAGGCAACAACAATACTTAGGTAAGTTTATGCAACAAGAATACTTAGTTAGTTGCCTAAACCTAAGTATTCTTGTATACTTAGGTTTAGGCAACAAGAATACTTAGTTAGGTTTAGGCAACAAAACCATTTAGTTAGGTTTAGGTAAAGATCGTGAAATACTTAGTTAGGTTTTGGAAAAGATTGTTGTTTGGGGTAAAATAACTACAGAAGTAGCCTTACTGAAGTCATGTTACAAATAGATCAAAGTTGACATCTCGTTTCACACGCGGCACGAACAAAAGGTCTCCTGGGTGAAAGACTTTCTTTGACTGTGTGGGTTTTTGCGGTCTTAAAACTTCCTGGTTCATGATTATGATTTTTGTGGGATATCTACGAACTACAGCGCATTAATAGTCGGAAGACAGAGCTACGAACTCTGTGTGAGGACAGCCTGCGTGTCTCGTTTATTTAACTCGCATATATGACAAGTGCATAGAGCTAACTAAATGATGAGCATGTTTGCCTTCTGACAAAGAGCCAATAAACAGCAAATATACAATGTGCACAAACACACACGCACACACACATACACAGCAAGTGTTTAAGTTCACCGGGGGCCTTTGGCTGACTCCTTGATGCCTCTGTCAACATCAGATGCTCACGTAGACTCTCTCACCCCTCTTCTGACGCCATCGCCCCTCACTTCTCTCCCCCTCCATCGTCTCTCCAACCCTTAACTCCCTTCTGCCTCCCCCACGCTGTGTGTCATCCACTGCGCCGGGCCTTCCACTGCCCCCACTGTTTGCAGGAGAGGACGATGCTTTTGCAAAGACGCTTCACTGGCTTGTGCATGCAGCGTACTCTTAAAAGCACGTCAGTTTAATGGAGCATGAAGTACAGCACGCAGAGGAAATGAAGGGTCCTTCAAGGACAATCAAACCGGTTTAATGAGCTCAAAGTGCTGCTGCGGATGCTCATAGTGAAGGAAGTGCGCTCTGGCACAGAACAAATTAAGGAGTAAATCAGCGCGGCATTCCTTTATGCAGAAAGCTGCTGCTGTACTGCTCTCTGTAGGCTAAACGTGCAACAAGAAACACTTCTTCTTTAGTGACACCTTTCTTCAAATTTATTGGGTTTATTGTTTGTTTTTTACATCAGAGGTTTTTAGAATGTCTCCTGTAACAATCCGCCTTGTGCTAATGTTAAAGGATTCATCTGGACTCGTTCACCTGGAGAAGACAAAAAGTATTTTACACTTCTGATTATTTGTTAAATGACGACAAGCTGACGGAACCGCTTTCTTTTTGTTTGGAGTACGACTGTAAGTGGTGCGATGTGCAAGTATAAAATAAAAATGCACAGTTTTTTTTCAGCATTTGAGAGTTTTTCTATCACAAGAAAATGAAACGGATGGAGAAAAAACAAAAAAGGAGGGAAGGCAGTGGGACACTTATGTAACAGCAAAGCACAAATTGACCTTCTGTCTCAGCTGGGTCGTTCTATGTTACAAGTGTGTTCACACACGTGCACACACACACACACACACACACGCCAAACAAAGAAGGCTATAGATCAGACTAATTCAGACACATTTGAAGGGTTCTCAGTGGGAAAGAGCAAACTGAAGAGAACAGAGTCGCCTTTAAAGTTTCAGTCCAGTACAACCAAACCTGAAAGTACAAAAGTCAGTCAGAAATACTCTTTTCAACTATTAGAATTTGCAAGCATTAATTCCGAATTAATTAAACATGAGAGTCTTTTAAACATATAAACTAGAGCTGCAACTATAAGGTGATTAATCGATTAGTGGATGGACAGATAGTTTTTCATGTATTTCTTTGTTTTTTGTTGACCGTGTGTCTCGCAGACTGGACTTACACGGGAAGTTGTACATGAAGCACGCCTGCGCAGTGACGATCCACTCGGCCCGAGTCTCGCAGAAGATGGCCACGTTGTTTTTTGGCCGCTGACCCAGTGACGCCAAACCGCTACCCAGTTGGGACGCCGCCGTGAGGATTTCCTCGTAGGAGAGCCAGCAGTACTCGCCCAGAACCACCTGCAGGGGGGGGGGAAGGTAAGATGGAGACACACGGTCATATTTAGTTCCCAAAACAGGTAGAGCAGATCAAAGGAAGGACAATCTTAACAATGTAAAGCCCAGTATCCTGTGATCTCTTCTTAAAAACCACAGGAGTTACATCCCACAGTCACATGTTTGTCCTGTTTCGTATTAAGAAGTCACAGGAAAAGGAGCATCGCTCCACTATTACCAAACAGAGCTGCCTCCTCTTCTACTGTCAGTCTCTGCATGAGAAGAAGATAAAACACTCAAACACAGTGATGACAGTGTCACACCAGTGAGGTTATACTGGCTCCTAGGGGTTAATAAACGGCAGTGCACACAAACACACGCCGTAATGATGACTGTACAGTCCTGTTTTCCACTTGTTATGAGGAACAATAGCCAGGAGCTGATCAGCTAAGACTGTTCTTGCAGCATTAAGTGTTTCAACAGTGGGGTTTAACTGGATTAGAGGGATCAGGCTGTTGGAATTAGTGGAGTAATTCAGACGTACGGTCAAAGTTGGCTGTGCAGTCGCTGTGCAAACTCCAAAAACACACCGATCACACAAAGTGTTTAGTTGGGCAGCGTCTACACTGAATGCTGGAGTAACTTTTTGTTGTATAGATGAGATGACATGCGAGCCACAACTGTTTGTTCAAAGTAAACTTCTTTTTCATTCTCCCACTCCTTTTTGAACAAATTCAGATTTGTTCTTTTTGATTTCAAATCAGTTCTTTCGACTCGTTCTTCTTTTTTCCGTCCTTTGTGAAGCAAATGTCTTGACACACTTGTCGCTTATTCAATCTCTTACGGAATTACATGAAGAGTTTCATAACACTCTCATGACTGTATGTTAAATATGATGTTACCTGTTTCCACAGTACTTATGCTAAACTAGGCTAACTGGCTGTAGCTTTGAAATTCAATGGACCGTTATGAAAGTCTTTTCATTTAAATCTAAGAAAGCTAATAAGTTTAATGTGGAACTATTCCTTAAGTGTTGTGTTTCATACTCTGTTACTATGCTGCTACCCCCCCACCCTTTCTGCATCCCTCTTTACCTTCTTGAACACCTTCCCGTTGCCCTGGCGCTCGTCGTCCTCATTGATCACCTCCCTCGTCCCCAGACAGTCTCTGTGAGGGAACCTCATGGCCGCGTACTCGAACACCTTATCCAGGGTGTCCACTCCCGGGTGCAGCGCCGTCGCCAGCCTCTTGGCGGCGCTCACCGCTCGGTAGGGGCCCTCGGGACGTCCCGACGCCGAGCGGGCCTTCGCCCTCTTGGCCCGCTCCTCCTCGGAGCCGTAGCGGGCCCCGTCGTGTCCGGAGACCCGGCTGAGGATGTAGGAGGGCAGGAAGGTGATGGAGGTGTAGATCCACGCCATGAGGTGGAAGAGGAGCAGCAGCACAGGGTTCAGGTCCTCCTTCTGCTTCATCTCAGTGAAGCTGTGAAGACGTGGAGAGCAGCGAGTAAGGTAAGAAGAAAAAGTTCCAACTGTTGCAGTCAGTCCCCTTATCCTTCTTCTTGCTTTCTTTCAGAGAGCTTGACTTAATGAAAGGCCCACAGGTCCACGCTGCTGGAAAATAAACAACATGAACCCAGCATTAGAACATTGACATGTAATTATGAAACTGGGTTCAAAATAAGTGTGTGCCTGTGCTCATAACGATCCCTGAAAGTAAACTCATCCAGAAAGCGAAACAAAACGCTGAGCACTCGCAAAAAGCAGAAGGGAGATTTGTGTTACTGGCAAACCACGATACGACAAACAGACCGGCTCAGTGCTTCAAATGTTCTTTCTCCTTCACATATTGATCCAACGCACTCGCTCACCGAGAACACAGCGTGAACGCAGCACGAGCAACTGTCGGTGTCACGCGCTGTTGGTATCAAAGAGAAAGAAAGAAAGCAGCAGGAAAAGCTACGAGAAACAAAACAAAAGGAGAAGACAACAGAGGAGTTAAAGTGGAAAAATGAGATTGTAAAACGTCTCCAACAGACGCAGACCACAGCGAGTGTGAGAAGGTGCATGAGAGGTTTCTGAATGAGCAAATGTGAGTGACAGGAAACAGGCCTCTAGACGTGGAGGAGACAAAACACCCAAAGAACAAACTGTTAAGTGTTTGAACTGCCAATTAGCAGATCCACTGTTCACTCTGAACCCATTAAACTCCATGACGTGCATTTAAACTGCCACACATCTCAGCTTTACTGCAGGAGTGTGTCTTCTAGAACAACACTGTATCTTTGGACACTCATTATGAACTAGGAGGGAGGTGATGGAGTTGTTGGGAGCTGTCCAGAGTTGTGAACTGAGATCAGTGTTAAGGTTATCTCGTCACCATGAGATGAAAGGTTTCCTGTTAGCACTAGTTCTCTATACGTTTACTTATTAATAATAATAATAATAATAATAATAATGATACTACTATTACTACTACCTTAATAATAATAATTATTATTTAAATCTGCTTTAAATAGATTTAAATCAAATCTATTTTAAGCAGATTTAAATAGGCGAGTTTGGAGAGCAGGTTTGAAAGAGGGGAGTGATTGAGAATTTCTGAGGTGTCGGGTTAGAGTCCCAGAGGAAGGGGGGTAGCAATGGAGACGGCCCTGTCCCCCCAGGTCTGGTGCTTGGACGGGGTGAGACGGGTGAGGAGGTTGCGAGGTTGTGGAGGACTTTGAGGGCGATGAGGATCATTCTGAACTGGATTCTTTACTGAATGGGGGCCCAGTGGAGGTTCTGAAGGATGCAGACGGACAGCTGAGTTTTGGATGTATTTTGGTGGAGGGGGCGAAGATGGGCGATGATTTTAAGATGAAAAAAAGGCAGTTTTTGTAACATATGCTAACTCAAGTCTTTTACATTGTTCTGTAAATATATGGTGTCCTATTAACAAACAGCGTCTAAATGGTTTAAAACTGCCATTTAAGGCCACCAGTGTGAGAAATAACCGTCATGCTTATTGACATTTTTACTCAGTCCATCAACTGTCAATCGTGCAGCTATGTAAGCATGGCCCCCTGTCAAAATGGTGTGAGAATGCACACACACACACACACACACACACACACACACACACACGCACACACACTCTGAAGGCAGTCTATTCTAGCAGCAGTAATAATACATTATTTATTTGAGGGAGAGGCTCACTAAACTGTCCTCTGACTTGCACGACTCGTCTCCCAAAAACACTCGTCTCTCAAGTGTCCCTTTGAGACTCATAAATAAATCAGCGGGGCTCTCCCAGACTACCATCTGTTCCCTGTGGGACGTGGACTCTGCGGCGCTGTTGTTGTGCTCGGTGTCTTGTTTCCCGGCCTGGAAGCCTCGCTCCGTCTACAGCTTCACTACGAGATGCATCGGCCGCTATCATCCACTGTTTGATAGTTAGTTTCACTGCCTCTGTCAAATCTGATTTACTTTTTGCAGAAAGTCAATGTTGATGAAATAGAGGCCGTAGAGAGGTAGTCTGAGCAACTGGAGTAAACAAACAATCAGACTATAGAAGAAGAGAGCAACAGGTGCATGGTGCTGCTTCAACTTCTTCTTCTGCTGTTTTGACAATGAGCTGAAGATCTTTTGTAAAGCCTTGAATTCAGCAATTTCGCCGTCGCCATGTTGTTTTTTTTGCAACCAATGAACGGAAGTTACCATATTTGGAATGCGGAGGAGCGACGTAGAGACGTTGTTTATGTCTCTGGTAGCAGTAGAGACCTGTCAATCACAGTAAGCCCCGCCCTAAAGCATCCCCTGCTTTATGGTCTGTTTGACTCTAAATGGACCATAATGTACTAAATGAACATCATGCTGTATTGAAGAAGACTTGAAACTAGAGATTGAGACCATAAACTCATGTTTACAATGTTTACTGAGGTACTAAATCAAGAGAGAAGTAGAGTCATTTCCTCATAGACTTCTATACAACCAGACATTGCACCAAAAGCATGCGCGGCCGACCCGGCTGTGTCAACAAATAACAGAGAAGCTCTGATAACAACACACACACACAGATAGCAGTCCTTTCTCTACACTGTGTGTAATTAGTGGAGTGTCCCTTTAAGATGATTTGATCATTTATTCTCTACGATGCTGTGGTGGTGCTATATTACATTTCAAACGATTCGGTTTTTTCTCGTCTTGACAGGCGTTAAAAGACAAGATTGTGTTTGGTTGCATGCAAGTACAGTGACAATAAAGTTGAATTAAACCTTGTGATTATTGTCATTATAGATTACTTTTGATTTCCAATAATAAAATATCAGAAATTTGCAAATTGCATAAAGTGGTGTCTTCAAATCGTTGACAATTATCCATAAACCAGAAGATTTTAAAAATAGCAATGATTTTAACACCGCTGGGTCCAGTAAACGTTGGTTAATCCTCTGGTAAACAATCGACTAATCGTTTCAGCCCTGCGTGACATAACAGCGGAGGGTGCTGTTGTGTGTGGGTACCAGGTTCCACTTGTCAGATTACACAGACAGATAAGGTCACAGAGGGGAGGAGGCTGCAACCTGTAGGAATAGTGAAGGGACTCAACGCATGAATAAAGATAAGACATCCACCTGTAGTCGCACCGCTTTACCGTTTAACATGCATCTGTGTGAGCAGAACGATCACCTTCTAATTCACATGGATTTACCAGCTGATTAGAAACTTTGCACCACAGCTCGACTCTAATCTCTTCCCTTTTAATGACGAGAAACGGGAAGGTGGCTTTATGCAACAAGCAGGATTAATTGGGTAATATTGTGACATGGTCTGTGTAGTGGTGGGGTGAGCTGGCTGGCATGTATGTGTGTGTGTGTGTGTGTGTGTATTTGCTTCCTCGGAGAGATTATGTGAATGGGCTCTTTTGTGCGCCGACGTCATCGTAACTTTCGGCCCACTCAGCTAAGCAGGCGGGCCTTTGCAGCCTCGCAAGAAAGTTCAACATGGCCATTGTGGTGAAAACGACTGCAGCGACACACGACTCGTCTCCAGGGTCAGACTGTGTGTGTATGTGTGTGAAAGAGATGTCTGTGGTGTGTGTGCGTGCGTGGGCGTGTGGAGGTGCAGAACAGATTGCACACATTATTTGTAGCCTGTTTGAAATAGGGACATATTTAAGAGATTGCAAAAAAAGCAACCGAGGTGGTTTTCAAGTGTGAGTTCACTGAGAGTGAAAACACAGCCGGCTGGATTATGTGGATCAGACGGCAGCTTTTCTCTGCTCTTGTGTGCAAACATAAGCAGACATGATGACCTATTTCCTTTCTCTATTGTATTCATACAACAGCTAATTCAATTTGAAAAAAAGTATCTGCATCTGTTTTATGCAAGTTTCTACAGGAGGTAAAATAAGTAAAGTACATAAAAACCAAGAAGACTTTTACTTATTTCAGTTGTCACTCTTGTGACTCGTGTTCTCCTCTCTCGCACTTTGGAGAAAGTATGCTTTCCAAGGAGGACGAGTGTGCGTCTGCGTGTTTTTCTAATCATGTCGGACCATTCCTCGCAAGACAATAGCGTCTCTGTCCGTAGTTTACGGGAGCTCGCATCATTCGGTGACCAATGCCACAGGCCAGTTCACGTCAGCGGTGTTTTAAAAAGGGACTTTTAGAAGAGGAACAGCAGCAGATGGAGGTTTTAAACGTTAGGGACGACTGTGGTGAGGTGACACAGATTCTAAGTTCTGTTTTTTGATTACAACACGTGTTGTAAAAGTGTGTCCTATTTGTGTGCATGTCATAATTGTATAAATATGTCTAACACAAGAAAAAAAAAAAAAGGCTAAAATATGCTGTATTTGAGTATATGAGTATATGAGCTATAGTGAAATACTAAAAACATTAAGATGGGAACAAAAGAAACAACATATTATGGATTTAGATGTAATAATAATGGTCAACAATGAGCCACAGATGTTCAGGCTGCAACATCCAGACGCACTAACGAGGATCACCCACGCAACAGTGGCGAGTCGACTTCCGGTTTAGCATTTCAAAACAAAAGATTTCAGGCAGTTGCAGACATTTTTGAGTGTTGCTGTTAATGATTAATTTCATCTTCATTTGTTTGGCAAAATGATTTGTTAGGCGCTGGCCACACGCATGTTGGACATAAGCTGAATATCATGTCTAAAGAAGGCATTATAATGTAGTATAACAGCAAGACATGTCATTTTAAATGACAAATTAATAGCACATAGGAAGTTTAATGTTCTATTTTTATTTTTAGAATAAAGGTTTTTAATTACAGTTTTCTCTGTTACTTTTTTGGGGGGGGCACTGCAGCAGCATCCCGCACATCTGGATATAAAAACGCGCATCACAAATCGGGCACCTGAACGGCAAAAAGAGAACTCACCACGGCTGTCGGTTCATCCGGACTGCAGCAGCGGAGAGAGACTCCCAACATCCACCGGCTCTCATCCAAACGAGTCCGGAAGTGACACGCGCGGCCTGATGCTGGCTGTCGGGTAGGGGAGGGAGGGGAGGGGAGGGGAGGGGAGGGGGCGAGGGGGGTGAGGGAATTCCCTGCGTTGTGATTGGACTAGATGAGGTGGCGCGTGCTAGAGGCCGGGCCTAGATTGGAAAAGGAGGGCTCGCGGTGATTGCATGGGGTTCAGAAGGAGGTAGAGGCCACGCGCACAGTGCGCTCACACATACAGTCCCACGCGCATACAGACTCAGGAAACGTTGATGTTAAAGCTGTCGCGTGTGATGCTTCCCTTCAGAGGGTTACAGTGCACGTGAAAGTCAATTCAAACATTATTATTAAAATTATTATTATTATTATTATTTTATTATTATTATTTTATTATCATTATTATTATTATTATATTATTATAAAAATAATGTTTTCTTCCATTGGACTGGACCCATATAAACGGAGGTATTTCATTTTTTTTGTAGAGTCATGGTTTCAGCACCGCAGTGTGATTATGGTCTTAATTCCAACCCCTACAGGAGGTTGGCGCAGGAGTTCATGACACTTTCAAACTTACCCCACCACAACTACTACCCCAATCATGCAGAACTAGAACTAGCATCCTGGCTCAACATAATGTCCTACTGAGAATGATCTCCTTTGACCCAGATGGTGTAATTCAGGAAAAATGCCCCCAACGAGCCCAAAACACACACATGTATACACATGCAAAGTTACCAGTATGAGTATACATACTCATATGTATGTTGACGTTTATATAGGGCTGTGAGTGTAGCCCTCAGCATACAATGCTGGTGATAATGTTGATCTGAAGCAGAGAGAAGACAGTTTATCTGATGTAAAATATCGAATGTCATGCATTGTGGAACATTTTTGTGTACTCTTTTCATGTTGACTGCTGTTTTGTTATAAACCTAAGAATATGGAGCTATATGACTCACTCTGCAGTGTGACATGTTATGAAGACAGAAAGACGAGCAGATGGCAGATTGCCCGACAGACTTGTTACTGGAAAAAATGAAACGGTGAAACGAGGCTTTATGCCCTCTGTCTCCACTTTGTCGTCAGCGTTGTGGTAACGATCCTTCATTCCCACCACTCCGTCATCTAATTACTAATGGGAGAATAGAGATAATTCATCATTTCATGATGAGAAAGTCATCAGTTTGAACCACCAATTCAGAAAACTCAAGCAGATTCTTTCAAATTCATCATTTTCACACCATCTGTTCTCGTACAGGCTTCTTTTCTCATCTCCTCTAAACATGACGCAAAATATTTACAATACAAATATTTAATGCAAGGTTGTTCTATTTTTTTAATTAAAGAAATCCTGACAATCCTACCATCTGCCATTTCTCATATGAAGGTGCTATCTATTACATGCTGTGCAACAATCTGTTCTCATAGTTTCTATTGTGTCTGCATCATTATTTAAATCGTGTTCTCCAGGCTACTATAAGATGTGCTGGATGATAGCGATGTATTTTACATTTCCATTCTGGCCTTCAGCAGAAACACTCCGCTGAGACGGCTCTCCTCAGGCTCAAAAATACTATTTGAATGCATCTTGATTCTGATGAGAGAACACAATATACTCCACTGTTATTCAGTATTAGTCCTGCATGCAGTGCTGGAACAAGTATTCAGATCCTTTACTAATACCACACTCTGGAAATACTTTACAAAGTCCTGCATTCAAAACCTTACTTGTGCACTAAAATGTACCCTGTCAGTGTTTTAAATAGAGTTTCTGGATTAATATTAGTCTTGCATTCATGTACTGTATATGTTGCATTTTACTGCTGTAGATGTTTATTTAAACTTCTTTATATACTGTTGGCCACTTTAATCTACATCAATGCATCATATTCTATAAGATCATGATGTGATTTTATGCCGTTTTCTGCTTTGTGACGATGCATTTTCCAGCTGATCCAAGAAGCTTTTTAAATAGTTTATTTAACTTAAGAATAATAAAGATGTTCTAACCCCACAAGGAACACTTCATCCTTCAGTTTATTATAAACATTAAAAATGTACACATCTGGAGATACGTAAATAAAGCACATTATTCCCCTCTGAGGTGAAGTGAAGTGGAAGTATAAAGCTGCATAAAAGGTCAATACTCAAGTAAAATGCAAGTACCTTGAATTTGTACTTACAGTACTTGAGTAAATGTACTTAGTTACATTCCACCACTGCCTGTATGTGATACTAGAGATCATTTTGTAATTTATTTATCTATTTATTTTTAAAGCAAAGGATATTATTTACCCTATTTTATCTCATTAAAAGAATCAATATTATTTATGAAAAATATATATTTATAAGGCTATATTAGATAAAAATGCAAGAACAAATAAATAGATAAATAAAGGTTACATTAGTTCAATTAAATTACATTTGTCCCTTTGGAACTCTATATAATAATAATAATATTATACAGCTCTGTAAGCCTACTTCTCTTAATAAACCATAGGAAATAAGTTATGGTTATTAGCTGATGAGGCGAAGACAAGATACCTCATTTTGTATGGAATTAATTACAAATGTCCTAAATAGAAACATTAAATATCCACAAATGATTTGTTTGTCATTTAACTACATTTCACTCAGGCACCACCTCAGACAGCTACAGCCGGCTCGTTGGGGTCCTTTTTCCGCTACACTGAGGAGGATTAGCAGGCAACATGCCGACTGTCGGAGTGAAAAGAGATCTTCTCTTCAAAGCTTTGGGCAGAACATACAGTGAGTCATGTTAAGGACATATTCAAGTAGTGAACAACATGTCCGCCTGGTTATTAAATGTCAGTTTGTCCCTAAAAGACTGAGGGAGTCAAAACATTAGCTTGATGGTTAGCACAGCAGCAGCAGCAGCAGCTGCGCACGCAGTTAAATTATCTGGCTTTAGTAAAACAGTCTTGAATGAGACTTATATTGTTTTTATAACAACATTCTTATCAAATATAAGTTTTAATGTTAACATATTGCTGCTGGTAACTGTGTCAATGAGAAAGTAGACTTCGTTAGTGCTCTGACGTGTCTTGTGTTGGACGTCAACGTTATTGCGTCATTATTTCCCCTGTCATTTAAATCTGAGGCTAATACTTAGCGATGTATATAAAGCTGTTTTTTGTTTGTTTGTAATACGTGTTTGTTTCTTCTTTCAGCCGATGAGGAGTTTGACGAGCTGTGCTTTGAATTTGGGCTGGAGCTGGATGAAATTGTGAGTAAACGATGTAAAAAGCAGATCAAACCACAGTGTGTCATATGAGCATAAAGGCATAATTAAAAGTGAATCCATCTGCACACTACACACACACACACACACACACCTGTGTGTGACAAGTCACATTGCCCAATGTGAGAAAGGTCTGCTTGTGCATTTATGTTCAAAAACATCCAGTGAGCTGTGATCTCTGTTCTGATTCCAGACCTCAGAGAAGGAGATAATCAGCAAAGAGCAGGGCGACTCCAAGGCATCGGGGGCGTCTGACGTCGTCCTGTATAAGATCGATGTACCGGCGAACCGCTACGACCTGCTGTGTCTGGAGGGGCTGGTCCGTGGACTGCAGGTCTTCAAGAACAAGTGAGCGGTGCACATACTGCGGTGGTTGCGGCAATCTAAAGTGAAGGATGATTGCTAAATGCATGCAAAGGTTGACCAGTTTCGGTGGTGACACAACGGAGTAATTCAGCGCCCTTTTCCAAAGTTAGAAGGATGGATATGTGAAAGGTTGATGGTTTTAAAACATTCTTGTGAATGACTGTGTGTTACTTAAAGTTACTGTGAGGAACTTTTAACTGGTTGTGAAACAGTCTCAATTTAATACTGATGTGTCTTTATGACCTACTTCAGTAAACGAGACCATCAGAGAGAAGATGGTCTATTTCTATATGGTTTTTAATGCTTGACAAAGGTGCCACTGAGGGTCGGATTCCGTGCAAAATCGGATGACATCATGCAGGTTCACCAGAAAATCCTTCAGCTCAGACTCCAGCAGAGACCGGTCCACCGTGGACAGACCCAGATCCTCCGGCAGAGACCGGTCCACCGTGGACAGACCCGGATCCTCCGGCAGAGACCGGTCCACCGTGGACAGACCCGGATCCTCCGGCAGAGACCGGTCCACCGTGGACAGACYCAGAGCCGGCTTTACTGCAGCCTTAGACCTGCAGTCGGAAGTATGGGTGGGAGGAGGAGAGCTTAGCGCCCGAAAGAAGCCTCCCAGAGCTTCTCCTCTCTGCTCCTCCGGTCCCCTCTGGGAGCCAACACCGACACCACGCTGCTGGAGACCCAGGACGTATTGCTGGACCCGCTGGAGGGAAGGGAGGCAGAACCAGGACTGAGAGGAGCAGACTGTCAGACCCTGCTGCAATAAAATGAGAGGTTTTCTAAAGGGACTCTGGTGCTCAGGAACACTACCACCTTCGTCCACAGGGACGACAAAACATCATAACACAACATGAACGTTCCTTGTAGTAACTCTTAACTCCATTCGGGTAAAGTTTATGCAAACTTGCTTCACTGCTGCTACAGAGATTGTGTTTGTGTTGCAGGTTGGAGGCACCTCGCTACAGACGTGTTAGCCCAGTCAGCGGGGAGCCTCAGAAGCTGATCATTACCAAGGAGGTGGGTGGCGGCATTCATGATTATTAACGGCAAACAAGCAGTTTGTGGCCTGAGGCGTTCGTTAGTTTGCTTTATGAATCATATAAATGTGAGTATTGTTAATTGTGATTTGATATGTGCAGACGGCGGCAGTGCGACCGCATGCCGTGGCAGCGGTGTTGAGGAACATCACCTTCACACAGGAGCGCTACGACAGCTTCATCGAGCTGCAGGACAAACTCCACCAAACCGTCTGCAGGTCAGATCAGCTGCTACACCAAGTACAACAGAGTACCTTCAGTTAGTTATTATGCAGGTATTCAAATGTACCTGCAGGAAATGTGGTTACTACCACTTGTATAACCTGTGTATATATTCTTTACAACAACCTGACTGTTTCGTTGTTTTAACTGAATTTTTACTGACGAGGTAATTCGGTTAAAAACCCAGCACGGTGGTGATTTGTGAGATGTTGCAGCCACTGCATCTGGCGCTTCTGTTACAGACCAAAAGCAACAACGAACTGAAATGTAATCTGTGTCGCCAAAGCTTTATATTGCTTCTTCTTCCGTGTCATATAACTCCATTGTTACCCTGCTCACACCATGGCAGAACACACAACACAATGACATGTTTTTTCCCGTGCTCATGCAGGAAGAGGAGCCTTGTGGCCATCGGGACTCATGACCTGGACACCATCTCCGGTCCTTTCATGTACACGGCCAAACCTCCTGGAGACATCAGCTTCAAACCCCTGAACCAGACCAAAGAGTACACCGCCATCCAGCTCATGAGCCTCTACAAGGTGAAGGACTCCGGCGAGAAGAGCAGTTTGTGTGTTTGAGCGGCGCTAACCTGCTCTTGTTCTTGTGACTCATGCAGACGGACAGCCAGCTGAAGCACTTCCTTCACATTATCGAGGACAAGCCCGTGTACCCCGTCATCTACGACAGCAATGGTATCGTCCTGTCCATGCCTCCCATCATCAATGGTGAGCACTGTCTCTGCCTTCATGTGTCTGGCTTTATTTCTGATTCAACCTATTCTCATGATATTAAATATCTTTTGTTGTTTTCCCAGGTGACCATTCAAAAATCTCCCTGAAGACGAAGAACGTCTTTATTGAGTGCACGGCCACAGACCTGACGAAGGTACGACTGAGAGGAGAACGGAGGAATCCCATCAATGTGTTGTTCAGTCTTCAACTCGTTCTCTTCTTCTGTTGTTCCCTCCAGGCAAAGATCGTGTTAGACATGATGGTGACCATGTTCAGCGAGTATTGCTCACAGCCTTTCACGTAAGTCGCCTATCGGGGCTCAAATACCAGCTTGTCGTCTACAGGTTTTGTGTCCTATGTCCAAGATACTGGTTTATTCTCTTCCTATTAAGTGATGGAAATATACCCAAATCCATCATAAATAGTCCACAAAAGACTGGAGTGTAAGAGTATTACAGAGAGGGTGATGTGTTCTTCTGTCTCGTGCTCTTTCAGGGTCGAGGAGGCTGAGGTGGTCTACCCAGACGGCAAGACCTGCAAATATCCAGTAATGTGTTCTCTACCATCATCTTGTGTCCTTTCTTTAAGTGGCAATAGACATGTTTTTGTTGCTTTAACTTATCCTAATGAAGTAAATGTATATTACACAGTGTTACGGCTGTAGAATAATGACACCAAATGTGTTTATGATTTAAATAAGTGGCTAAGTTTGTCACTAGCACTAAGCACTGAGGTAAATGGAAGGTGATCGTGTTGTCTTTTGGACAGCGGAGCTAATGTCACGTGTGTTCCTTCTACTGTCGTCTGATTCTCTGCTGGTGTTTCCTGGTTTGTACTTTAGGAGCTCGCTTACAGGAAGGAGAAGTTGTCCAGCGAGTTCGTCAACAAAAAAGTTGGCATCAAGTGAGTCATCTGGATCTACTACTCTGTATATTATGAAAGTAAAGATTATAGAAAGAGCCAGCAGGTAAATGTTAAAACAGACATGGATACACCTGCACTATCGAACACAATAATACGGAAATATCGGCCAATAATGTGTCCTCAGAGCAGCGCTGAACTATGTGATAGAAACGAGGAGGGAGAGTTTGAGTATAAACGTTCTGCTACAGCAAAGCGGTTCATGACCGCGATGGGAAGTGGTTGAGGAGACGTGACAGTCAAAGAGATACAAGACGAGAAGGTGTGAGCCGACGGGTCACGTTATGTTTCTGGTTCAGTAGAAGATGTGACAGAGACCTGAATACAGACACACAGGCAGCTGTCGGAGTGAGAGAATCTTCATAATTACTCAACTTTAGCCTTTATGTCTCCAAAATATGCCAATAAAATAATGACAAAGAAAAGAGAGAACCTCTCTGTATTTAAATACAATACAACTGTTTGGAGTGAGAGAGCTTCACAGTTTTGTGCAGGCGTCCCTTAAGAACAGATCTGTGGTCTGTGGTTCAGATTTAAAGCTGCTTTTAACCTGTGATGCATCGTTATGTCATGTTATTGTGTTTTTACTGCTATAGTGTGTTTTATACGCTTTGTTTTTATTGATATTGCTGTTTCCGTTTTTACCTTTTTAAAGCGCGATACTAAATAAATGCATTATTATTATTAAAGCTGCAGTCACATGGAGTCAGGCAGACGGTTGAGTGCAAACTGGATATTATTTTGGTGAACGAGAGCAGGACGGTAAAAGTAGGCCATCCAAAGTACTAATACTTACTCGTCAAATACACTTTGGGCATTTAAAAGAAGAGGTTGGAACAATCATTTTAATTTTCTATTTTAATCAGAACACAACCATGTGTTGTCTTTTGCACATTCGTAACAACTTACCCTTCTGTGCAGAAGAAAACCAAAATAAACAATTTACAACCGAAGCTGCGTTTTATAACGTCCATTATTAGAACAATTCCATAAAATAATAGTCAAGAAATCATTTTATTATATATTATTCCGTTCTTTTATACAAAAAACAAGACGTCGTCATGGCAACATTTCGCCATGTGCGTCTCATCATTCTGTCTGATTTTCATCTAAAGGCAGCGTTACTTGTAACTTTGTGTTAATTCATTTTGAACATGTGCTTTTCCACACACACACACACATGCAGGTCTACCTAGCTGCTTGATGTCAGTGTATCCTCAGTAACTTCATAAATTCCACTTTTTAATGAGTGTTTATTTATTTTCCTCCCGACAGCGAGTCGACTGAGAAAATCGCCCAGCTGCTGACCAAGATGTGCCTGCGCTCCGAGGTGACGGGTGTCGGCGACGAGATCGAAGTGGAGATCCCGCCCACGCGCTCTGACGTCATCCACGCCTGTGACATCATGGAGGACGCCGCCATGGCCTTCGGCTTCAACAACATCCCGTACACCACGCCGCGCACCTACACCATCGCCACCCAGGTACCTGGCTGTTTTATTCTGCGCGCGTGTGTGTGTGTGTGTGTGTGTGTGTGTGTGTGTGTGTGTGTGTGTG